CCCTGCTAAATGGTCGCTTCCAAATTATGGCATTCCACAAGCTCTCCCCGAAGCCCCAAACTGGTTAACTGTGACGAACAGCTTCCGCTCCGTAGTCAGCTGACTATTTGGATAATCGCTGAATCACTTTATGTTTTGAAAAGCATTGCTTGGAAGTACATTTTAAAAATATTATCAGACTCTTTTAGAATATAAATTGCAAACTTTTTAAAACAAAACACACACAGCATACCACACTTGTACGTTCCACTACACCTGAGCGCTCGTGAAACGGAAATGTGCGCCTGATTGGTAAGTCTTTTCTTTCGGAAAACGGATATTGTTGTCTTGTGGTCAGGGGAAAAAGCAATTGTTTGAATGTTGCCTAATATCTGAAATTAAATTTTATTTATATCTTTTGGGGGGGTGCGGGGCCGGTTGGTTTGGTCCTGGATGTCTCGTATCGGGTTCTGTACATGGTGAAAGGGGCGGGTCACGCCCTGAAGGCTGGGTCGGAGGAAGAGCGGGGGAAAAGAATAGTGGTTACAACGGAGGGCCTCCTCCAGGGGCAGTAGGAGGGTTTGGTGGTGGGGAAGGGGGAGCCGAAGATGGTGGTGCATCTGGAGGGGGAGTAGGTTACTCTGGGGGAGGAAGCGGCGTATTTTCTTTTCAGGCAGGAGGGGTGGGGGTTCGTTTTGTGGTGGCTTAAATGGAAGTTGTTCAGGTGTTTCCGGTGGTAACCTGAATGACAATGGGCTAGTACAAATCACACAATTGTAAGGCTTTACTCACTACGCTTGTAGATCCTTTTTTTCACTTTCTCGATTTTGGCATACTGGAGAAAGACTTGGCTAGAATTTGACTCGATAAAGATATTAGTTGAGCATGCGCTGTATGTTGCTAGGATACAGTTTCGAACCCAAGCCTAAAAGCTTTGCGCGTGGCACAGCTGCAATCTTGGACAAAAATGTTAAGTAAAATGCACCTTGTATGTCTAATTGTAGAATACGTCCCTCTAAAGCCCCGTTCACTCAAGGTACTTCCCCCTTCCCCCCCTTCGTAAACAAAAAAATGTTGAAGTTTGGCCGGAACATTTTTGCTCCCGACTAAACAACATTGACCAGGGAAAGGTGGGGGAAGGGGTCATCATGGTGCCAAATTCGTAGGGCGAGTCTCCTTTGAGTAAGAAAGTGCAAAATTCTTAACACTTTTTGTCCTAGATTGTGGCTCAGTTATCACCACGGGTTTATTACTAAACGAATGCTCGCACTCGCGAAGCAAGATTGACACGAGCAAACGTGATTGATAAGTCGGCAAGTTCGGGCTTCGTCGACTTCAATGACTCACCGTGGTTCAAGCAGAGCTTCCCTTTCTACTCCCCACCTGAAGAAGAGAAATGGAGGTCATTGCTTCATGGTAGGGCTTTACTGTTACGTTATGTGAGACGTTTTTGTTGTTGTTGTTGTTGTTGTTCTTCTTTTCTTAGTTGGTCGTTAGAGGTCAGTTTAAAAATCGTACAAAATTTACATGGACATGATGTTACCATTCAAACTACTCAGAAAAAAAAGTTTTGTATGGTAAAATTTTTTTCTTATAGTCGATTTGACAGAAAAATAAAAACAAAATTTGAATTTTCTTCTGAACTTTCTTTAACTTTATTGTTGTTTTTTTCTCTCTAAAAGTACGGGTGGTCATGCAATTTACCGCCAAAACGCGCGGTCGCTTGAAATGTGAGGTTTCACCCCGGCTTACATGAATGGGTGGACGTATGTACGGACGATTTTGTCAGATCCAAAATTTCTTGGATGCTTACTAGATAACCAAATTTTCTCACCGATGGTGCTCCACTTGCTGTCTTTACAGAAATGAGGCCCTTGACAGCAAAATAAGAGGAAATTAATGAACTGATATTGGAAGTGTACAAATGTAAACTGGGAGAATTGGCTGAAAGAGCGCAATGGTTTATAGCTTCTCCGGGACAAACAAGTTTCATTTGTCTGACAGATCAAAATATCCTTCAAATTGACGATATCTAAACCTTATTTTACTGATTTGCAGACTGAGTCGTGTTTAACATCGCGAAGCCGTAACATTTGAACGTTTCGTTTTAAACAAATTGAACAATAGGCAGTTACACATGCTGTAGCTCATTCTCTCATAGGGGAAATATCAGTATCTCCTTGAACTTTTGATACATACAAAGCACTCGATCGGTCTCATGTAAGGGGCTCTTTACATGGAGGGAGCAGGAACCTGCTAGTATCATAAAAATCCTAGAAGGCAGCACAACTTTTCGTTAAACCGGTATTTTGCACCCACTGAAGAGCCTATTTTTGGCTCATCCTCGATGTCGATGAACCTGCGTAACTTACGAGTGACGTAAAACAATCAATACAAAGAAACCACTCAGAAGTCAATACGATAGAGCGAAGGAAAATAGTGAGAAACTCATCAAAGTCTAACTAGTGCACCCTATTCAGTAAATATTCGATACAAATTGAATAAATTAAAAGCACCTATGAAGAAAAAAAATGCTCCACTATAGGGCTCACTCAGAAGGTGTATGAGAAAGATTTCTATAGCCATGTTTTTGCAAATCCAGTCAGATATTTAACAATTATTCCTTGAGCCCGAATGGGCTCTGAGTCAATAGCCCATGAGGCCGAAGGGCGAGAGGAATAATTGTTTTAGTAAAATCCAACTAGTTGGTCAAAAATATCGAGACAAAACAACTTTAGCTAGGAAAACGCGATTCATCCGCCATTGTTTTGGCTTTCAAAGCCGGCGCTTTTCGCTACTAGTGGGCTATAACATATAGCCTAGTAGCAGCTCAACCAATCAGAACGTAGCATTGATAACAGACCACTAGCTGGATTAATTTCTATCATATATATTTGATTTTTTAGGGTTAAAACGTAATTGATTTAAAAATATCATACGACGATCTCGTGACTTTAAGTTAAGTTATATATATAATTAAGTTATATTTAAATGTGCTCCGGTGCGTAAAACCACGATCGATTAAAAAGCAAATTATCCCTGTTACTGTGGGGTCTGAAAACACCCGTTTTATTAAACTGTCTCTTTTTATACTCCGGGCTGCGGGCTGTGAAACCACGATTTTGACCCTTAAGAAAATGACAGTGAGAAATCTGCATTACAGCATCAGTAGTTATTATCACCTAGGAAATTAAAATGCCATGCATGTTTACGCCCGTTCTTCACCGTGTTACTGCGTATTCAGCCGCCATTGTTTTGGCTTTCAAAGCCGGCGCTTTTCGCTATTAGTGGGCTATAACATATAGCCTAGTAGCAGCTCAACCAATCAAAACGCAGCATTGATAATAGACCACTGGCTGGATTAATTTATATCATATATATTTGATTTTTTGGGTTAAAACGTAATTGGTTTAAAAATCATACGACGATCTCGTGACTTTAAGTTAAGTTATATATATAATTAAGTTATATTTAAATGTGCTCCGGTGCGTAAAACCACGATTAAAAAGCAAATTATCCCTGTTACTGTGGGGTCTGAAAACACCCGTTTTATTAAACTGTCTCTTTTTATACTCTGGCTGCGGGCTGTGAAACCACGATTTTGACCCTTAAGAAAATGACAGTGAGAAATCTGCATTACAGCACCAGTAGTTATTATCACCTAGGAAATTAAATTGCCATGCTTTTTTACGTCCGTTCTTCACCGTGTTACTGCGTATTCTTGCATTTCTTCCGTTCAGTTTTAGTCAGAAATTGCCAAAGCAGCCTCGTTTCTAGATTGATTGAATGAGTGATTGGAGTAATATATATATCAAGCTTTTGCCTTCCTGTTACTTCTTTACGCAGCCTTTTTTACAACTTAGTTTGGGCATCGAAGTATCCCACAAACTTGAATCGTATTGTTCTACGTCAGAAAAAAAAAAAAATTCGAATTATTTCCAAGACGCCATTTGATGCTCACACTGATCCTAAATTCAAACGTTTGCAAATACTGAAATTATCTCAAATTTACTTTTTTCAAGTTGGAAAGTTCATGTATTCTTATTAAGTAGGCCTGCTTCCTAATGTATTTAAAGAAATGTTTTTAATGACAAATCAAGTTCATTCCCATAATACCAGAAATTCAAATACTTTCTACTTTACACTATTATGCACTAATTCGATTGCCTTCTTTTGTTTACCCCTTGCTATATTAGGGGCACCCAACGTCAGTTTTCGGAAAATATCTGTTCGGGAGACGATTTGAAATCTAGAATTTTCGGAACATTTGTTTTAAAATTTCTTGCTTGCCTGCCTCTTCTAGGATTTTTGAACATCTAAAAAATCATATAATTGCCCATGTTTTTAACGTACTTTTACCCTGAGGTCACCAAGAATTTTCGGGAGCCTTTTTTCTGGCTGAAATTTTCGAAAAGGTGAGTTTTGATCCCCATAATTTTTGGATCACTAGTAAGACTAGGAAATCAGAACAGATGAAAAATTTTTAGGGGATAAAAATAAGCCTATATCTGCCCTTTAAATACTAGAGTAGGTTTAACAATGCTATGTTTAAGTGGTTTCGAACTATTTTCTCGGAGGCTGTCCCTGCTATATTGCACTTACTATTTGTTCGTACTTGTCCCACTATTCAAGTAAAATCACTTTATCATGACGCATGGGCTATCATCATGCATCTTTACGTCGGCTCAAGATCTTACATCCTTATAACGAACGTAGAAGCTGAGGACTTAAATAAATATTTCTTGAAATCAGCCGTAGACAATCCTGTCTGCAATGCAAACAAAGCAAGAGGTTATTTTTAAGAGCAAGAGGTTATTTTTAGTGCGAAAAAAGGGGGCTCCTGCGAAGCGTTTGCGTGTGTTAAAAGTGGGAGAATGCCTGGGGCCAACAACAGAACGGAATATTTTAAATAGATTGTATAAGTTTAATATCCCTGAAAAAGTGGGATATTATTTGTAGTGGCAGTGGAAACAAGTTGACAACTTCAGAGTCTGGGCTGATAAAAGTGAACGAGGGAGAACATGAGTGACCCCACGATAGAGAGTCCAAGTCGTGAAAATGACCGGCGAATACTGATCATGTTAACTGTCTTCATCTGTCTTATTGCCGTTGTCATTTTGGTTATTGCTGCTATAATGTTGTCATTGATAATATCTCGAAATAATGATGTTGATGATGATGCTAAAGGATCAAAACTTGACGCCGCGGTGCAGGGTAAGCAAACGTTACAACTTTTAAAAAAGTCGGCTGTCTACTCGTAACACCCTCAACTAGCGATTAAAGGCTTCTAAACTTGCCCTGTCATATCTCGGTTTAGTCCGCTCTTAGAACTTTATTTTCAAGAGCCCGCGCACTTGTTTCGCAGTAGGTATCTCAGGTAGGGTAAGTTTAAAAGACAAATTTGTTTCCCGGGGAATTTTACATTTTGTTTCAGTATTTTTGCATTTCTGATTCGGCAGGGGCACAAAACGACTGTTTCCTGTAAAATATCTGTTCGCAGAAGCAAATATTGCCTAGAATATTCTATTGCTTGAATACGGCTAAAAATTTCTAGAAGAGCGCTCCATTCAGGTACGATTTTGGAAACTTATCTAAAAAATTCCCTACTATTTTCTGAAGTGTAATTTTTCATCTTTTACTCCTTACGTTAGGCTAATTTTCGTACAAATAGAAAAACCGAAAATTTTCGGATTCAAAAATGAGATGAAAAGAAGAACAAGAAAAATTCTCACCGAGTTCGTTCAACTGCATCTAAAATTTTCGGAAAAATAACAGTGAAGCCCTTGTAATTTCGAAAAGCCTTCAGTTTCCCTAGGATGACCGAACAGATGCAACTTTTATAGTGCTGCTTAGAATACATTTCTAGAGATCTAAAAGTACTCTGGATAGCATAAAAAGACTTTTCAATGCGTTTAGGAGGAAACCGTCGTTGGGTCCCCTGATTCGGGGGCACACAGTCAGCGACTTTTTTTCTGTAAAAGAACTATTCGAAGGGGCAAACTATTGGAGACAAATAAACTAACTTCCGAGTTAGGATTTCGAGTTAGATTTCGAGCTGGATTTTCGAGATAGGAATTTGAGTTGGATTTTCGAGTTAGGATTTCGATTTGAATTTTCGAGTTGGATTTTCGAGAGAGGATTTCGAGTTGGATTTCGAGTAAGGATGTAGAGTTGTTGTTTTTTTTTTTCGAGATGGTTACTAGTAATCCAGCTGCAATGAATCGGCTAGTTTGTCCGTAAACCGTCTCGTAGATGTCCAGTGCAATGCAGTCAACAAAAGAATTCCTGTAGGGGTGGGGTTGGTATTTTGCCTTTTTATTCTGCGACATCATTATATAAAGTATACATGAAGGAAGAGGTAAGACATTGAGTCATACATAACGTCATTTCCAAAAATACGATAACCGGACGTACTCTAGAATATGATTTTTCTTGTCATATCTATTCCGGTGGAACAAATTTAGAAATCGCGTTAAGAATTAGACACAACAAAAGGCAAATATATAAATCCTATAATTCCATTATATTTTGAATACCAACAAATGGCTCAAATGCTGCTTTACAGACCTTTCCTAGCTTCTTCCCTTGGCGGACACCAAGCATATATTCATAGAAATATTTGTTCATTTATTTATTTATTTATTTATTTATTTATTTATGGGGCATCGAATTTTGCATCTGGCAAAGAGCACGGGTGGTTCACGTGATGCGCGCGCGCTTCGCGCTCGACGAGATTATAAACTCGCTTCGCAAGAATTATCGTCCATCTCCCTAAACATCCAAGGAAGCTTTTCTTTTTCTCTTCTTTTATTTTTCTATATATGTTTATGTTTAATTATCAACTATATAATGATACCCTAAAACTTAAAATCAGTTTAAAATTTGAACATAACTGCTTGCGCTTCCAATTAAACCACAACATATCAGGCACGATATCTAGCGATGCACGATTCAATTCAAAAATATTTTTTCAATCTTTTTCAGATATAGACGAGTGTGAAACCAGCATCCATTCATGTGATGTCAATGCGTTTTGTAACAATACCATTGGATCTTATATTTGCACTTGTAATCCTGGGTACTTTGGAAATGGAAAATCGTGTCTTGGTAAAACCTTAAACTAATCGTCTTGCAGAGTTCATCACACTATGCAGTGCCAGTCCCTTTTTCCTGTTGCCTTTATTAGCTTTGATTCTGATATCCAGCAAACCCCTTTAATTCTCTGCTTGCAGCTAAAATGTTTTTGCGTACCTCTGATCTCGAGTTGTCGCCTCCGCAGTTGATTTCAGCAGGTGGTGGATGTGCGTTCTCTTTTTTCCACAAAGTAGTTTTGGGTTTTCGTATCCGACAGTGTCGTACTTAGTTGTCTTAGTTGCTTTCGAGGTTTGTGTTTCACCATAGGGCGTTTTGTAATTAGGAGCGGTCTTGTAAACTTACGGTAATTTTGCAATAAACTGGTTTTGAGGTCCTTGCTGACCCAGAGGCCCCCGCATTTATTCTTGGTTGGGTGTCTTTCTGGGTAGTGTAGGCAAAATGCAACATTTGTTTGGATTTGTTTTTTTTTTCTTTTTATCTTCATACATTCTCTCCCTTCAGATATTAACGAGTGTACCACTAATGTCCATAATTGTGATGCAAATGCTTTCTGTGATAACACTGATGGATCTTACACCTGCGCATGCAGCCCTGGATATACTGGAAATGGAACATCCTGCGCTGGTAAATTATCAACGCATTTGCATTTTTAAGCGACCATATATTATTGCTATTAAAACTGGGGGGAGCGGGGGTAGGACAGGGCGGGGGGGGGGCGGTGTAAATTACGTCTCTGCTCCGTTATAAGCAATATTTGTTTGGGTTTGTTTTGATTTGTCTTAACATCTAAGGTTGCTGAACACAATTTCTCTAAATCGGATTTATCCCTTTACTGTGTATTTTAACAACTTTATCATTACATAAAGAAAAAGAGGGAGGAAAGGCTGATAAAAAGTTTAACAGAAAATAATGTTTTTGTCGCCTTTGACATATCACGTGACCTCAGCGCGGGCCTGTTGAACTAGAGCTGAACATGCGTACTTTCGTAAGCAACGTAAATAAACTACAATATCTTTAAATCTACTCATTAAAATGTGACGAAATTTGACAGAAATCCTGTTCATGTCACGCTCAAGCCAATAAAAGCGTCAAAATATCTTTTCAACAAAGGAGTTTTGTGACAAAATCAAGATTTCCATAAAGGCTATTTTCTTGAAGATTTTAAAAAACTGTTCGTTACAATTTTGGTCAAGTGGTTTCTAAAAGATGAGGGCTACTAATCGAAAGCTGTGTTCAATTTTCTAAGAAAATCCAATGACTGAATTTTGCTTAAACCCAATAAATTGAAATTTTTTGGCTTGTTGTCAAACTTCCATGTTGCCATGGCAACAATCCAAGTCTCACTTTTAACTTAATAAATGTCATGTCTGATAAATATAGATTGTTTGATGTGCTGAATCAAAATGTTAGCGTTATACCCGCAATGAGTCTTAAATAAAACCCCAATAATTGGTTATGATCCACAACCTATCAAACTGTGTTCAGGCACCTTAATTCTCTCCTTTCAGATATTAACGAGTGTACAGCCAAAGGCCATAACTGTGATGCCAATGCTTTCTGCAATAACACTCAGGGGTCTTATAACTGCACGTGCAGCCCTGGATACACTGGAAATGGAACATCATGCATCGGTAAATCATCGTGCCTAATGCATGTAAAATTATTTTAGCGAGGTGCAAGAAACAAGCAGTACCCCATAAATGCATTAAGTAATTCTCCAAACATATCTCTCAGCGTACTTATGGAAGCCCATCTGATAAAGTACAAGCTATTTCTTGGAAAACGCACCCTGTTGTTTGAATCTTATAAGCGGCCACCTCCCGTATGAGACCACTTACACTTGCATCTTGTTTGGTCGCTTAGAATACGAGAAGCTTGACTGTATGTTAAGAAGTCCGAAAGAGAAGAACCCCATACATAGAAACGTTCCTTATCCAAGGCTTATTATTTCATTCATAGACATCGTTCTGCTGAAAATACCTTCCTTTTAGATATAACAAGTGCATACTGGAAATGAAACAGCATGCACCGGTATATCAAAAATCGTTTCTGCTGCAGTATTGGAATTATGTTTCGTTGATCCGGTTTGCCCGCATCATCTTAAATACTTTCTTAATACTTCTTTCCTTTCAGATATTAACGAGTGTACCACTAACATCCATAACTGTGATGCCAATGCTTTCTGCAATAACACTCAGGGGTCTTATAACTGCACATGTAGCCCTGGATACACTGGAAATGGAACATCATGCATCGGTAAATCATCCTGCCTAATGTATGAAAAATTATTTTAGTTAGGTCCAAGAAAGAAGCAGTACCCCATAAATTAATTAAGTAATTCTCCAAACATATCTCTCTTAAACTGTGTTCAGGCACCTTAATTCTCTCCTTTCAGATATTAACGAGTGCACAGCCAACGTCCATAACTGTGATGCCAATGCTTTCTGTAATAACACTGAGGGATCTTATAAATGCACGTGTAGCCCTGGGTACGATGGAAATGGAATTTCTTGCACCGGTAAATTATCATGACCAATACATTTTTTTTTTTAAAAAAGCAATGTATGTATTTTAACTCTTTGATTTTTTTTATTTCATTTCATTTCAAGTTTCGTTTTTCTTTTTATGTTTTGCTTTTGTTTTTGTTTTTGCTTTTTTGGGGTGGGGGAGCTTAAAATCGTTTGAGCTGCAGTATTTGAATTATGTTTCGTCAAGAGCCATTATGGCTCTTGGTTTCGTTGATCTGTTTTGCCCGCATCATCTTTAATACTTTCTTAATAATTCTTTCCTTTCAGATATTAACGAGTGTACCACTAACGTCCATAACTGTGATGCCAATGCTTTCTGCAATAACACTCAGGGGTCTTATAACTGCACATGCAGCCCTGGATACACTGGAAATGGAACATCATGCATCGGTAAATCATCCTGCCTAATGCATGTAAAATTATTTTAGCGAGGTGCAAGAAAGAAGCAGTACCCCATAAATGCATTAAGTAATTCTCCAAACCTATCTTCCTCAAACTGTGTTCAGGCAACTTTAATTCTCTCTTTTCAGATATTAACGAATGTACAGCCAAAGTCCATAACTGTGATGCCAATGCTTTCTGCAATAACACTCAGGGGTCTTATAACTGCACATGCAGCCCTGGATACACTGGAAATGGAACATCATGCATCGGTAAATCATCGTGCCTAATGCATGTAAAATTATTTTAGCGAGGTGCAAGAAACAAGCAGTACCCCATAAATGCATTAAGTAATTCTCCAAACATATCTCTCAGCGTACTTATGGAAGCCCATCTGATAAAGTACAAGCTATTTCTTGGAAAACGCACCCTGTTGTTTGAATCTTATAAGCGGCCACCTCCCGTATGAGACCACTTACACTTGCATCTTGTTTGGTCGCTTAGAATACGAGAAGCTTGACTGTATGTTAAGAAGTCCGAAAGAGAAGAACCCCATACATAGAAACGTTCCTTATCCAAGGCTTATTATTTCATTCATAGACATCGTTCTGCTGAAAATACCTTCCTTTTAGATATAACAAGTGCATACTGGAAATGAAACAGCATGCACCGGTATATCAAAAATCGTTTCTGCTGCAGTATTGGAATTATGTTTCGTTGATCCGGTTTGCCCGCATCATCTTAAATACTTTCTTAATACTTCTTTCCTTTCAGATATTAACGAGTGTACCACTAACATCCATAACTGTGATGCCAATGCTTTCTGCAATAACACTCAGGGTCTTATAACTGCACATGTAGCCCTGGATACACTGGAAATGGAACATCATGCATCGGTAAATCATCCTGCCTAATGTATGAAAAAATTATTTTAGTTAGGTCCAAGAAAGAAGCAGTACCCCATAAATTTATTAAGTAATTCTCCAAACATATCTCTCTTAAACTGTGTTCAGGCACCTTAATTCTCTCCTTTCAGATATTAACGAGTGCACAGCCAACGTCCATAACTGTGATGCCAATGCTTTCTGTAATAACACTGAGGGATCTTATAAATGCACGTGTAGCCCTGGGTACGATGGAAATGGAATTTCTTGCACCGGTAAATTATCATGACCAATACATTTTTTTTTTAAAAAAGCAATGTATGTATTTTAACTCTTTGATTTTTTTTATTTCATTTCATTTCAAGTTTCGTTTTTCTTTTTATGTTTTGCTTTTGTTTTTGTTTTTGCTTTTTTGGGGGGTGGGGGAGCTTAAAATCGTTTGAGCTGCAGTATTTGAATTATGTTTCGTCAAGAGCCATTATGGCTCTTGGTTTCGTTGATCTGTTTTGCCCGCATCATCTTTAATACTTTCTTAATAATTCTTTCCTTTCAGATATTAACGAGTGTACCACTAACGTCCATAACTGTGATGCCAATGCTTTCTGCAATAACACTCAGGGGTCTTATAACTGCACATGCAGCCCTGGATACACTGGAAATGGAACATCATGCATCGGTAAATCATCCTGCCTAATGCATGTAAAATTATTTTAGCGAGGTGCAAGAAAGAAGCAGTACCCCATAAATGCATTAAGTAATTCTCCAAACCTATCTTCCTCAAACTGTGTTCAGGCAACTTTAATTCTCTCTTTTCAGATATTAACGAATGTACAGCCAAAGTCCATAACTGTGATGCCAATGCTTTCTGCAATAACACTCAGGGGTCTTACAACTGCACATGTAGCCCTGGATATACTGGAAATGGAACATCATGCATCGGTAAATCATCATGCCTAATGCATGTAAAATTATTTTAAGCGAGGTCCAAGAAACAAGCAGTACCCCATAAATGCATTAAGTAATTCTCCAAACATATCTCTCAGCGTACTTATGGAAGCCCATCTGATAAAGTACAATCTATTTCTTGGAAAAGGCAGCCTGTTGTTTGAATCTTATAAGCGGCCACCTCCCGTATGAGACCACTTACACTTGCATCTTGTTTGGTCGCTTAGAATACGAGAAGCTTGACTGTATGTTAAGAAGTCCGAAAGAGAAGAACCCCATACATAGAAACGTTCCTTATCCAAGGCTTATTATTTCATTCACAGACATCGTTCTGCTGAAAATACCTTCCTTTTAGATATAACAAGTGCATACTGGAAATGAAACAGCATGCACCGGTATATCAAAAATCGTTTCTGCTGCAGTATTGGAATTATGTTTCGTTGATCCGGTTTGCCCGCATCATCTTAAATACTTTCTTAATACTTCTTTCCTTTCAGATATTAACGAGTGTACCACTAACATCCATAACTGTGATGCCAATGCTTTCTGCAATAACACTCAGGGGTCTTATAACTGCACATGCAGCCCTGGATACACTGGAAATGGAACATCATGCATCGGTAAATTATCCTGCCTAATGTATTTAAAATTATTTTAGTTAGGTCCAAGAAAGAAGCAGTACCCCATAAATTAATTAAGTAATTCTCCAAACATATCTTTCTTAAACTGTGTTCAAGCACCTTAATTCTCTCCTTTCAGATATTAACGAGTGCACAGCCAACGTCCATAACTGTGATGCCAATGCTTTCTGTAATAACACTGAGGGATCTTATAAATGCACGTGTAGCCCTGGGTACGATGGAAATGGAATATCTTGCACCGGTAAATTATTATGACCAATAGATTTTTCAAAAAAAAAAAAAAAAAAATGTATGTATTGTAACTCTTTGATTTTTTTTTTTCATTTCATTTCAAGTTTCGTTTTCTTTTTATGTTTTGCTTTTGTTTTGTTTTTGCTTTTTTTGGGGGTGGGGAGCTTAAAATCGTTTGAGCTGCAGTATTTGAATTATGTTTCGTCAAGAGCCATTATGGCTCTTGGTTTCGTTGATCTGTTTTGCCCGCATCATCTTTAATACTTTCTTAATAATTCTTTCCTTTCAGATATTAACGAGTGTACCACTAACGTCCATAACTGTGATGCCAATGCTTTCTGCAATAACACTCAGGGGTCTTACAACTGCACATGTAGCCCTGGATATACTGGAAATGGAACATCATGCATCGGTAAATCATCGTGCCTAATGCATGTAAAATTATTTTAGCGAGGTCCAAGAAACAAGCAGTACCCCATAAATGCATTAAGTAATTCTCCAAACATATCTCTCAGCGTACTTATGGAAGCCCATCTGATAAAGTACAATCTATTTCTTGGAAAAGGCACCCTGTTGTTTGAATCTTATAAGCGGCCACCTCCCGTATGAGACCACTTACACTTGCATCTTGTTTGGTCGCTTAGAATACGAGAAGCTTGACTGTATGTTAAGAAGTCCGAAAGAGAAGAACCCCATACATAGAAACGTTCCTTATCCAAGGCTTATTATTTCATTCATAGACATCGTTCTGCTGAAAATACCTTCCTTTTAGATATAACAAGTGCATACTGGAAATGAAACAGCATGCACCGGTATATCAAAAATCGTTTCTGCTGCAGTATTGGAATTATGTTTCGTTGATCCGTTTTGCCCGCATCATCTTTAATACTTTCTTTATAATTCTTTCCTTTCAGATATTAACGAGTGTACCACTAAAGTCCATAACTGTGATGCCAATGCTTTTTGCAATAACACTCAGGGGTCTTATAACTGCACATGCAGCCTTGGATACACTGGAAATGGAACATCATGCATCGGTAAGTTATCCTGCCTAATGTATGTAAAATTATTTTAGTTAGGTCCAAGAAAGAAGCAGTACCCCATAAATTAATTAAGTAATTCTCCAAACATATCTTTAGAGGGTCATCTGTAAAAAAAAAATGAATAATTTAGTGCTCGGTTGGAAGAGGTCGGACCGCGTTGACAAGGATGCACTTCAAACCTGGTATCTTTCTCGTGACGTGAATGCTGTGTGCACTAACACTGCAGGATCCCATCTTTGTGCATGCAAATCTGGTTACTCCGGGGATGGAATCACTTGCTATGGTAATTATTAAGACATAAATGTTGGTCGAGGGACTTATATTCTTTTGAAGCTATTTTATTATGTATTTATTAATCCTGTCGCTTGTTGCGGGTGATGCTTGCTCCATCCATGATATATCATTTTAACAAGTAACAACCAGTGGTTCTCATTAGCAGTAATAGCTGACACTAAAGCTGCCTCCCCTTCCCCCCCCCCCCCTTTTGAAATATACCGATTCATATTAATTACTGAATACGTTTTGGTCTTCACAACCTTCATCAGTTATAAAATAGCTCGTATGGAAAACTCTTAAATACAAGGAACAAGAGAATGATCATTGCACGATTACCTAACGAACTAAAACGCAAGAGAACCATAGCTCTTTTGAAAGACTATCGCACCGCGATAACAAGGATGCACCTTAAACTTAATTTCTTTCTCCCCTCAGATATAGACGAATGCACTACCAAAACTGACAACTGTGACGTGAATGCCGCGTGCACTAATACTGCTGGTTCCCACTTGTGTGCATGCAAGTTTGGTTCCTCCGGTGATGGAATCACGTGCTATGGTAATTATTAAACATATAAAATTAAAAGTTAGGGAAGACATGTTTATTGTAATTTCTTTTTATGCAAGTTGTATGTACATGAAGACTGAAGTTTTGTGCGGCTGATGCGTACTCCATGATTTATATCTTTTATTTTATTTTACATACATATATGTATTTTTTATCAATTTCAATTGCAGCAATTATGTAATTATAGTAATAATTAGATTCTACCAAACATGACTAAGTCTACTCAAGAACCCATGCCCATGCTACCGCGGTTACGCAGATGTAGATTTTCAGACTGACTTTCTAGTCAACAAAGCCTGGAGACCAATTAATAGTATTTTTTGATGTATTGATGATGGTGACTTATTTTTAGAGCGTGTTCACTTTAATACGTGACCAGCATCTATGCAAATTTATTCAACAAAAGAAAGCTTTATATAAGAAAAGAGTTCAACTCCTACAGGACTGGTTTGAAACAGCCAACATGACGGCCGTTCCATTGTTTTGGAACACCAATATGGCCGCCATGCGATCATGTGAAAACGCTCTATTTTCGTATTTCTTATACTTATCGGATGCGCGCACATACGAAGCGGGGCTTCCATTTTCGCTTGAAAAAGTATTCCAAAGTCATGCTAAAAATAAACTGATCTATTGCTTACGCTAAGTATGCGAGTCGCACGCTTCGGGCTTCGGAATATGGGCATCAGATTGTCCTCCTGTTTCTGAAATGTTTTTAGGTCGATTGTCTTGATATTCCTGATTCAATTTCAAAATCTCTTGACAGCTGATACCTTTTCGAATTCTTTGCCTGAAGCGTTCATCTTAAAGACAATGGCAATATCATTAAGGAGGCATTGATTCCCTTTGTAAAGGCAATGTTACGTCGGACTATTCGCAACGACGGTCTTTAGCGCAACACAGCGTTGCAGCATTGTTGCGACATTGTTTCTGATTGTTGCAACATTGTCGCCATAAAATTGTCGTTGCAAATCGTCTCAAGTAATATCGCCTTAAAGAGCCCTTGATCACAATCAGTCTGGTCTATTATGAGGATTATCTCAGCGAGAAGAAACTGTAGCCTCCACAGCCTTGATTTCATGCATATGCTAACTCCTCGCAAACAGGCACCGGCCATTAAGTTTCGTCTGCCACAATGTAGTCCTCACTTCAGTTCTGATTATCACCCTAAACTGATTATCAACTGATGGGTTTTGATATTACTTTTTAATTATTTTAAATACAATTTAGAGCGCAAATATTAGTATAGGTAATCATAGGACTTCGAGTTCAATTTGGAATTTATTTGCATGAATGTGTTTTTTAAAAAAGTATCAAAACTCAGTACATGAGCCCATAACACGAATGCAATTTGAACGCACGAATGCAAATAAATTCCAAATTGAATGAGAAAAGTTGCATGATCACTTTTTAATAATATACATAAAATGACTTGCCTGGCTTTGCTTGAAAGCTTTGAACGCCAGTAGATTGCAGCACTTGATTGGTTCTTACAGATTTCTATTGTCTATTAGCAAATCACAGTTTTCCATTCTCTAAGAAATTTGCATTATATTCCCTTCTTTTTGTATTATTTTTCCTCGTTTTTTGTACTGTGTTTTCAGTTTACTAAAAACTGGACTGCTCTCAACCAATCAGATTTAAGAAATGTTTTCATGTATATTATTAAATACAATACATTGTCATTATCAGCTCCTTGGTCGTTTACAACGAATGGAGCAGGGCGTTTCGGCAGCATTCAGACTTTCACAGTGCCAAAACCACTCGCTATCGAATCAGAGCCTGGGGAGCTCGAGGAGGAACGCACTCCACAAACTATGGAAGTTATCCCGGAACTTACTACGGTGGAAAAGGTGCATACAAAGAGGGCAGGTTTACCTTGAATAAAGGAACTGTACTGAATATTGTAGTGGGACAAAGAGGGGGCGATTCAGTGGAGATAAGAGGAGGACAGTCCACTAACTTGACAGCAGCTCAGCTGGGACTGTCCGTAGAGGACAATGCTGGAACTGGGGGAGGGGGAGGGAGCTTTGTTTATACAACAAGTAACGTGCTTTTGTTAGCTGCTGGAGGAGGGGGGGGGTGCATCTAACGGGTATAACGGGGTGGATGGTCAGGCGGGTACTAACGGCACTAGTAGCGTTGGAAAAGATTCAAGTGATGTTCGTAGCGGAGGAACTGGAGGGAATCCTGGTCAGTGTAACAGCGCATTCGGTGATTGGCATGGGGGAGTAGGTGCGGGATGGTTAGGCCAAGGTTGTTCCAGGGTCTGGTCCGAAAATGGCGAAAGGGTGGATCCCGTGCTCAGGGCTGGGTGGGTGGTCGTGCTGGAAGAATGAATAGTGGCTACAACGGAGGCCCTCCCCTGGGGCCGTAGGAGGGTTTGGCGGTGGTGGGGGATCTGAAGATAGTGGTGCATCAGGAGGAGGTGGTGGTTACTCTGGGGAGGTAGCGGCACAGAATCATACCAAGCAGGAGGGGGAGGGGGCTCTTACTGTAGTGGCTCGAATTGTTCAGGAGTGAATGGAGGTAACTCAAATGACAACGGACTTGTAAAAATCGTGGAACTGTCTGTCTAAACCGAGAAACTAAGGCCACGTTAAAAAAAAATCGTTTCCACTGTCGGTTTATTACTGGTTATTATTAGAGTTTTCTGTAGTAGAATGTCAACTACCGTTAATGTATTATCGTAATTCGCGATCGAATACAATGAACGTTAATCAGCAGAAATAATAGTAATTATAATAATAATAGTAATAATAATAATAATAATTATAATGATAATAATAATAATAATAATAATAATAGAGACAACCACATTATCATGGCCTCGCTTAGGGTATATAAGAGATAATGAGAGTATAAAGACTGAATAATTTTCTAAATAAGCTTCTAGTAGA